ATACTATATTATAAAGTATTTGACAAAAATTCTTAAAAACCATTTTTTATGCATGAAGTATTGCATATTGATGCATATTACTTAAAATTAAAGATTATAAGTAAATTATTGATAAATACAACTTATTAAAACTTCATATTTGAATTCGTGTAACTAACTGCGGATAAACATATTCAAATAGATGACAAACATCTCATTTTAAAATATAAAAAATCTAAAATTTAATTAGGATAATTATCAAGTTATAACAAAATAATTGATTATTATTTTTATAAAAAAATTATATTATTAAACAAAATATAAGTTATTTCGTTATTGAATTTAAATTAAATTATAATAAAAATTTGAATTAAAAATTACACAAAAAATATGAATTTTAAATAGTTAAATTGATACTAATATCGATATATTTTTGTCAAATTTTTGTCATATCTTCAAATTTATATTTTGTTCAAAAATAAAAACATCATAACTTTTTCAAAATCACATAAGATCATACTATAACATCGACTGAGATAAAGAATAAAATGAAATATTAAAATCAAGATGTATCTCGCTGCATTACACGTGTACCCTTATATTTACTAGAAGAGTACTCACGCAATGCAGCGAGACACATCTCGATTTTAATGTTCTATTTTATTATTTGTCTCTGTCGATATTATAATACGATTTTATGTGTTTTTAAGAAAACAATAATGATTTTATTTTTGAATAAAATATAAATTTGAAGATATTATAAAATTTTGAAAAAAATATATCAATGTTAATATCAAATCAATTATTTAAAAGTTCTCATTTTTATGTAATTTCTTTAATCTATTTTTTATTATAATTTAATTTAAGTTTAATAAAGAAATAATTTATTTTTGTTTTAATAATATAACATTTTATAAAAATAATAATAATTAAGTATTTTGTTAGAACTCAATGATTATCTTAATTATATTTTAGATTTTTGATATTTAAAATGAGATGTTTATCATGTATTTGATTATGTTTATCTGCAGTTAGTTACACAAATTCAGATATAAAACTTTAATAAGTTGTACTAATTTTTTTGTACTCTTAAGTTTTAAATAATATGCATTAATAAACATTACTTTACGCATAAAAATTAGTTTTTAAAAGTTTATGTAAAATAGTTTATTTATATAGTATTAGATTATTATTATTATTATTATTATTATTATTATTATTATTATTATTAAGATGGTCCTCCTACATTAAAACTTTTCTTTGTGCTGTCTGTTTCACTAAATTCCTTTTTTATGTTGATTCCCGAGCCAAATACAAATAATTTTTAAAAATACATTAATTAGATTATTATTAGAACATAAAAATTTACTTTTTAAAAAAATAAAAGCGTAACATCAGAGCGGTTGTAGGGTATAAATTTAAAAGTCTAATACTGATTATTTCTGATTGCGTTAATGAGCCGTTTTGAAAAGTCCAATACCATAATCTATGGTTCATTTTAGGGTATAAACTCGAGAAGTTATAGTGTTAGTTGTTACTACGGTACGACTTAAGAATCGTTGACTTTTAATTGCAGTATCATCTCGATTCTCGAGACGAATAATTAAAAAGAAGTTTAATTTTAATTATAAAAATATGTATTGTTTATTTAAAAAAGGAAATATATTAGAAAATAAATGAAGAATGTGGTCCATTTGTGAACCCTAATACTTGCAATTTGTAATATTCTTATGTGATCACATTCCCACAATCCCTATTAAAAATATAGAGTAAATTATGATTTTAGTCCCTGTGATTGTAGTTTATAACTATTACGGTCCATGGTCTTTAGAAATTGTTCTTTTAGTAACTACAGTTTCTATTTCGTTTTATTTTTCGTTCTTTGGGTTTGTTTGTTTACCTTTTAATAGTTCCATTAAGAAACAACATTTGAATCGTTAAAAGGTAAGTCTTTTTTGGCAAAAAAAATAGTCTGCCTCTTAATGGTTATAAAGTTCTCTGAATGATTTTGTATTATGGGTCTCCCTTAACCATTTAGGACTATAATTTCATCGTAAACAATTATCAAACAATTATATATCATTTTGCAATATATCATGAGAGTCTCTTAAATATATAATTCTAACCATTTAATCATTATGTACCAAACCATTCTGCAACTGCCAAACAGTTAACAACTCAGTTACGTCTCCGTCAAATCAAGGTCATATTATATATTTATTTAATTTTCTACTAAAAAAATTAATATATTACATAAAAAATATTATTTCCATTTATGAATAAAAAGACATGTGTAATATTTTTTAGGAAATGTGTTTACTTTTTTCAGTATAAAATTAAATTAATGTGTTAAATGACCATCATAATCTATGACTTAACAGAGATTTTGGAGTTAGTTTTAGGAAATTAATAAAATGAAAACCGTAATGACTAAAAAGCAATTTTTCAAAAAACTAGGGACTAAAATAGCTATAAACAACAAACAAAGTGAAGAAAATCATAGTTTATTCAAAACTATATTTTGTATTTATATAAAAAAATAAATAGTAAATTACATTTTTAGTCCATATGGTTTGTTAAAAAATTGATTTTTGTCCCTATGATTTAGAAATTACAATTTCTTGTAATTTATTTTTATTTTCATTTTTACTTTTTTAAGTACAACTATAAAAGGGACCAAAATGGTAAAGAATTTTAAACCATAAAGACTGAAACACTAATAGATTATAAATCATAAAGACGAAATAGCAATAATTTAAATATTATAGAGATGAAAACTATAATATCTAAACTATAAGGACGAAAACTATAATTTTTAACAAACCACAGGGACAAAAAATGTAATTTACTCAAAAATTAATTAATAAATTGGTATTAAATATTTAATCATCTAGATAGAATATCCGACAGTATTTCTTTTATTGCTATAACAATAAATTATCATCTATACTATATAATAAAACATTTGATAAAAACTTTTCAAAACCATTTTTTATGCATAAAATACTGTTTATAAATATATGTTACTTAAAACATAAGATTACAAGTAGATTGTGCATAATTACAACTTATTAAAGTTTCTTCGTGTAACTAACTGCAGATAAATATAATCAAATACAGGATAAACATCTCATTTTAAATATAAAAAATCTAAAATATAATTAGGATAATTATTGAGTTTTAACATATTATATTTATAAAATATTATATTATTAAACTAAAAATAAATTATTTCATTATTAAATTTAAATTACATTATAATAAATTTTTTTTAAAAACACATAAAAAAATTAAAACTTTTAAATAGTTGATTTGATATTAACATTGATATTTGTTTTCAAATTTTTATGATATTTTCAAATTTATATTTTATTCAAAAATAAAAATCTTATTGCTTTCTTAAAAACACATAAAATCGTATTATAACATTGACAGAGACAAATAATAATATACAACATTTAAATCAAGATGTATCTCACTATATTGGATAAGTACCCTTCTAGTTATTAATAATTATTGTATTCTTTTGTAATAAAAAAAATAGCATTTTTTATAAGTTTTCAAAAGAAATTGTTATATTCAAAGACCGTTGTGTTGGCATGTCGACATTTTTTTTAAATTATATAAATAATTAATATATTAGGTAGATTTTAAATAGCGTAAATTACGTTTTTACTCCTTGTGATTTGTTGATAATTTCTGTTTTCATCTTTATGGTTTTGAAATTACAATTTTCATTCTTATGGTTTACAATTCATTACATTTTTCATCCTTATGAAGTTATGATTTAAAGTTTACTGTTTTTTTTTTTTTGTTTATATGGTTTACCATTCATTTTTATTTTAGTTTTTTATACTTAAAAGTAGTGTTTTGAACTTAAAGACGAAAATAGAAATGAATTACAAATTATAAGGATAAAAATCAAAATTTTAAAACTACAAGGATGAAATCCGAAACTTTTAACAAACCACAAAGACGAAAAACGTAATTTACTCTTTTAAAAATTACTACTAACATAATGATCCAATTTTTTCAAAAATTATGGTGCTCGACTTTGTTAAACTAAACACTTTTTTAATGTTTAAAATCGATTGAAACTCGAGAATTATTAAGTGTGAGTCAGATAACTCGTTATGTCCGACTTGTTAATACCGAATAAAATGTGTATGTGGTGATTGTTACTCAAATAAAATGTCCAATTATTAGATAATTCATCTCAAACTCATTCATGGTTATGTGGATATCCCATTTCAAGTATGTTGTGATAAAAAGTTTATATGTAAATCATTGAAGAAATCTTAAAAAATGTTTTTGAACCGACACTATAAATTATTAATATGGGTTCATATTTTAATCAATCCATGGTTTATTTAAACTAAATAAACTTAGGGGCCGTTTACCTAAATGTTTACCCGGTAAGCGCTTACCCTTAAGAGTCAACACTGTAATTTATTTTACAAGGTAATATTGTAATACATCAAAATGGTATCGTATGCAACAATTTATCCAGTAAGCGCTTACTCGGGTAAGAGTCGTCACCCCCACTTACCAAGTAAGACTTTTCATCTTTATCATTGCTCTTACCGGGTAAGTTTTTTGACCCTTGCCATGTTCATGCGGTAAGAAAAATTACCCAGTAAATACTTACCGAGTAAGCGTTTAATAAACGGCTCCTTATATTAACTAAAAAATGCGTCTTTACGTGATTTGATGGACATGTTTAGGATAGAAAAGTTTGGTATACGGGACATCTTTCTACGGGCGAATACCCGTTGGTTCAATGGGTATTTTGGGTATTTTACCAACTTAACAGTCGTAGGTTTGAATCACGTATCGTACATGTATTTTCTTTGTTTAAATGCCATCTAAATACAAGAAATACAAAATCTCTCCTGGGTCCATTTGGTTGGAAAAGGACAATACTGTTTTGAAAGTTCGCTTTAGGGAATTTGGTATGTCTGAGTGACAAAGTGGACAATGGAAAGATGACATCTACATGTTTTGATGATGGAAAAATAAACATGCTTTTAACTTGATTGAATATTCAACAACATAAAAGAGCCCCATAAAGTTACATGCTTTTTAGAACAAAAATTCCAAAGAAATATGCAAGGTATGTTGCTATTGAAATTCCAAAAATACCCACAAGAATTCCAGGAACTATCAAAGAGCCCCAGCCTTTGGCTACTGCCATCCCAGATGCTGTTGTAGGACCTCCAATGTTAGCATTTGATGCTAAAAGCAGTTGCTTTAGATCCAAATTTAGTATCTTTCCTAGTCCAAGTATCACAATAAGATGCACTGTTACTTGAATAAAAGCAAACCCGAAGATGCAAGGCGCCACGTTGATAACGTTCCATATGCTCCCACTCGCACCCAATACAGCAAAAAATACCTATTTCCTCATCAAAACAGTAAGTTATGGGAGGAATAGTCAAGCTTATTTGTGGGTCGTAACTTGTGCAAGCAATCACAAGCACTGGTGTTTTCGGAAACAGTCTCTCTGTGTGTCGGACAGAGGTAATTCATGGTAAATATATCATGTGAATAGGGGCAGGTTCAAATGAGAATCATTCTTACTTTAAGAACTTGAGAACTAATTATTCCTATGTTGAATGAATACCATATGTAAAATGAAAATCATGATATTCATATAATGAAATTATATTCACGAATAACTTATGAAATAGTTGGTTCCCATATTATCAAAATATTTACGGTACTCTTTGAACTTTCCCCTATGTGAATGATATATTTTTTATGTTTCCTAATTTGTATATGTTTAGGTTTCCTTGTACAATTTAGGAAACATAAATATATTATTCACAAAATATATTTACTATCAATATGGTTTGTATTCATCTTACCCCTTAGACCCTATCTTCGAGTGGAATATATTGGGTTTGTTTTGTTTGGTTTTAACTTGTGCAAGCAAAGTTGCTAAAAATGTGGTTGGTATGGACTGTCATGCTTAAGATGGTTGGTTAAGAAAATATGAAAGAAAGAAAATCTTCTACCACCTGAATCGTTATTGCAGCAATGGCATCACCAGCCGGTGCAAGGTAACCAATCTGTCGGGGTAGTAAAGTTGCCAAAACCACGACGATTGCAGTAACTGTTGGTAGAGTGCCACCCTGAAATCTTAACAATTGAACGAAATGTGTGCCACCCTTGCAGATTGCAAAAGAAACTGCAAGTGCAGTAGCCGTCTGTAGCACGGATACAATGTCTCCAGAACCAGAATCTGAACTATTTGCTGGATCTGCCATTTGACACAAGTTACAGGTTGCAAAAGAAAATAGGGAAGATTGTGCGGTCCATATGATCCCAGTAATGAGGTTATTAATACTCACCCTTGGTTGATACCAAAGCCTCTGTTGGAAGTTTAGAGCCTAATGCAAACAACACCATAAAATATAACGCACAGATAACGTTATCTGCAGCTACACCTGCTGCAACAACAGACGGAGAAACCCCAAGTGCATCTGATACTGCAACGTAGTTTATAGCTACAAAATAGAAACAAAAACATAGTTATAACCTTAATACGGGAAGGCATTGAAATGCAGCAGATGAAGAAAAGTAACTCGTCACTTTTGTCCTCCTTCATAGTCACTAATTTTTGTAGATACCGACAAATGAAGAGGATTAAGATTTACAGAAAAAGAAGCGACTTCCAACAGATGATCAAATAAGCCAACAAATAGCAGATTGGGTCGATCAATGATGGCGCTTCATACATGCACTCTTTATAAGCTCATGTGTTAGAAGAGGCAGCGCAAAATAAATGCATAAGAAGTCAAGATTAACACCTCCTCCTATGTAACTAGCCATGAGAGCAGAAGCAATCTTCCAACTGTCTTCACCAAGTGATCGCATAGGAACAATCAAGAATGCCACTAGTGTTCCAACTGTGGTTGCAACTGCCACAATATAAAAAAATAAAACATGAACGATTATACATGTCCAATGAGAAGGAAAAAAAAACAATCTACTGCAAATTTATTTGTCTTAGATTAGCTTGTTGAAAGAAATTTGTTTGCATGCAGGAAAATGGTTATATTTTCCCTAACCATGAAATGGAGGGTGAACTGTGCAGTTTAAGTATTTCGCTAGTTTTTATATGTGCAACCTTGAATGATGCAGATTGCTTATGATCAGTTAAACATAGGGAAACATACTACAAGGGTCCATTAGCGTGCGTGAGAGTGCATGCACGGTGACTGAAAAAAGCTAAACATAGAGGGTATCCTATAAAAGATTTACCATACAGTGCAAACTTGCATTATTCTAGAGTATTTCGCCATGTCTCCGTTAACTGTGGTTCCGACCTTTAACCGACTATGTTCATGAGGTCTGAGTCCACTGTCCCATACAAAGTTCTTTCTTAAGGAAAAACTGGGATCCTGCCTTATGGTTTTGCCAACTTGACCACCCTTTGAGGTTTACCATATGTCATGTTGACAGGCAATTTGGAGCGAGTAGTATATTGGTTGTGAAGTCTTTGAGATCATTAACTGAAAAGATTCATCATATATACCTGATCCAATCTTATAACAAAGACATCGCCACATTGGTACAATGTTTAGTACCATACACTTGCTTCCTAGTAACTAAAGCATCATTTTCATGATACATAACGTTTTGCAATGAAAGTAGAGGCTTCAATGAGAGCATAGAAACTTCAGGCATCTTTAAATGGTTGAAGGTAACGCTATTTACAATGTTTAAACTAGAAATGATTTCATTTCCTTCTTGCAGATCTATTTCACCAAGTAGACAGCCTAGAGTGAGATCCAACTACATATGTGTCAGACTGATATTAATCAATGGAAGCAGATTTAGAGGTTGTTTGGCAGTTGTTGAATGGTTTGGTGCAGAATGATTAAGTGGTCAGAATGATTAAGAGGCTTTCATGATATAATGCAAAATAAAATATAATTGTTTGGTAATTGTTTACAATGAAATCAGGGCGCTTAATGGTTAAGGGAGGCTCAGGGTACAAAATCATTCAGAGGGTTTTAGAACCATTAAGAGGCAGACTTTTTTTTGCCAAACAAGATTTACCTCTTAATAATTTAGATGTTGCCTCTTAATGGAACTATTAAGAGGCAAACAATGAAGATGGCAGTTCCTTAACACTGGTTCTCATGGTCCTAAAGTCAGTTAAGAAATATTATTTCCGTCTTAAGCAAACGTCAATGGACCATTAGAATCTTTTTTTCTCACAGAGCATATATAAGGCTAGTGCAAACTCAAGAAACACGCAAAGCTCAGGATTTTCTAGCACTGGAAGGAATAGAAACATCGACAGTTTACTCTAAAAATGTACAAGGATGAAATTTCCACACTCAATTCCTAAAATGTACAAGGATGAAATTTCCACACTCAATTCCAAAGGTAACCACACGCTATGATTGTTCATTTAAGAAATATGACCTGATCCGACCAAAAAGGCCAAGAGGAGCTTCCCGGTCGATTTTATTACATTTCGCATATCAGCTCTGAACAACATTAATGGGATAGTCAAAGGTAGAAGGAACTCCATAACAACAGAGTAAGCACGTGCTTCGTGAGGAATAATGCCCAGGTTACTGGCTGCAAGGCCCAACAAGATGCTCACTAGTGCCGCACTAATCATCCTCCCGATCTTGGTTCTTTCTGACCTTTAATTGGACATTCACACATAAGCATGCCATGTATTTCTTTTACTTGCTCCTTTCCTACGTATAACCAAAGAAGCCAACAGATATGACTAAAACTCAACCAAGTTAAGTAAATTTAGCATCCCCAATTGTCGTGGATAACAAGATTGTGAATAGAAATCGTCCAGAAAAACTAACAGCTAAAATAGGGAAAAGAAATTCCACTTCAGAATGATTCATTGCAAATTAACTGGTTTGGTTTGAATTTAAGAACCTCATTAGGAAATTTGCAAATTTTGAACATGATACAAGTTTAATTGATTATATTACATGCAGCTTTAAGTATTCATCTTAGCAAATCCCAAAAGTAGCAATAGTGGTTTAATAGATTCCTAATCAATACAAGAAAACAGCAACCACAACTTTGGTCCAATTCGTGTTCCTCTTTATAGTTTCTAATCATTTCTCACAATCCTAATTAACTTGTGCAAATACAATCATGCAATCAATTAAAACGATGGTTAAAGTCAACGACTTCTAATCTGAAATTATTAGTAAGCGATGAACTGAATGAGCAATTGAAAGAGAAATTGGATTACCAGAGACCGAAAGAACCGGTGGCAAAGAGAGCAGTCCATATGCCCCATTGGTCATCCGGCGATACAAGAGGGAACTTCAAATTAGACCTAGCCACTACCACGCGCCGATTGAAATTGAAACTGAAAGTAGGTGTGTTTTGTGATGATGAGAAGCGAGATGTTTCAACAATGGGATATCTCAAAGTAAACATAGACAGTTTCTGTTTAAATTTCGAATTGTTAGTTGAAACCGACGAATGTGTGTAATATTTGCGGGAAACGAACGATGGAAGCTGAAATGACCATGCATAAGCCATCACCATCGGCGACGCCGACGACGCCATTAATGGTGAGACAAGCTCTCTCCCGCCCTTCCGTGTTTTAACCGATGATGCCTACGCTGAGGATATCCCCCAAAGACTTGCCCAATCTTACCATTGGATTTTTGTGTATTTAATTGCTCCTCGAAGGTAACACTTAAAATTGGGGTGTACAAGAATCCGTTATTCAAACCAACAATAAAGTTCGGGTGTTTGAGTTTTTTTTTTTTTTTTTTGAACGAGTGTTTGTGATTGTTTATAAAAATAATTTATTGATCTATTCTGGTATGACATCGGAAATAAGTACTTTTGAGTGTTTGGATAAATAGTTTATATCGGTGGTAAACCGGTAAGAAGAAGTTTTTGAAAAAGTTAAATCATTCTAACTTATAATAAGTTGATAAATACTTTTGTAGGAAAACCTAAGTTGTTTCAAATAAGCAATCCCAAACATCCAATTAAAAGCCATATGTTTGAGTTTTACAAGATCATTGAGTATTTTTTGTTATTCTCTAGGGATTAGTCGAAGTACGTGTAAATTGCTTCGAAAATCCAAAGCTATCTGATACATATTCGAGTTGTAAACTTATTAAACCTTAGTTATTAGGTTGAAAGTGAGTTATGGTTATTTAAATACCAGCCCGATCAATCTGATGGCGAAGCATCGTGTGAGAAAAAGAGTTTAGTAGGGATTTGGACCCTTGATCACTTTTAATCTCAACTCCACCCATAAATCATGTTTCATACGAGAATTGATCAAATACATCTCATCCTAATGTACATCCAACAGTAAAGATCTCTTCTTACGCTTTTTACATTTAGCTTTCCTTCTCACCGGAACCCAACCCTCAACCTAATACCCTTTTATTTCTTGGATTAAAAACGATTATCAAGCCCCTTGTTGATATGTACATTAGTGATTAGACCATTAAGAAAACAAGATAAATTTGATCTACTTAAGAAATATGGATAAGCTGTAATAGAAAAAACACCATATTCAATATAACAAACATACAAAAACATTATGATGTATCAAAGTTTAAACCGGTCAATCCAACTAACACAACCAACCTTTATGGTTGGGTTAGGTTAGATTAAGTTGGGTTTTACTTTTATTTGGGTTGGGTTGGGTTGGGTTGAGTTCGGAGTTTTCAAACTACAAGCATTGGTTAGATTGTTCAAATGTATTTCAACTCAATCAACACATCCCATATATTCACACCTACTTGTTTCTACGATGTTAATGAGATATTTAAATATATAACCTTATTTACTACAAAAACAACTGTTATTTTAGTTTACATGATTAAAAAAAGACTATAATGCCCTTTAGAAAAAGGGACATGTTTTTCCATGCATCACTAGCAAAAGTGGTGGTTGCATATAAAACCTCTTTGGTTTTACGTGTATTGAAGAACTTTAGCTCTAAAAGCAATCGCTAGAGAAGTAGCAATGGTAACGCCAAAAATAACAAGAAGTGAACAAACAACCATTGAATTCCATTCCTTGGTTGTGGCCATTCCACGTGCTGTCGTTGGCCCTCCCATGTTCGCATTCGATGCCAACAACCAGGGACGGATGCAATGGCAAAAAGGAGGGGAGAATGGACCCCAGTCAAAAACTCGAAAAAAATTCATAGGTTAAAATTTAGGTTTTACATGATTTACCTTTCACTTCCCCCGTTACATTTTTTTACGGGCCCCCAACCCCAATCGAAACCGTTACTCTAACCACAAAAATCTGTTGAAAAAAACCAAAAAAAATTATTCGAAATCGACAAAAACACTAAAGAATCTATCAAAATCAACCAAAAAACTTTAAAATTCCCTCGAAAACGTTGTAATTAGGTTAAAAACACATCGGACGATTTTGCGAGTCTGAGTCACCTTAAAGGTGACCCCACTAAACAAAAATCATGGATCCGCTACTGCCAACAACAATTGTTTCAACTCGTACCCAAACACCTTTCCTAAACCTAGAACCACAAAAGTGTGTAAGAGTGTATGTGTGTATGCGTGCGCGCACGCGCGTGTGTGTGTTTTTTGATCAAAACTTTGAGAGTTAGCTAAACTAGCAAATAAAGGCCAGGTCTCAGGGATTCTTCCCGTAAGAGGTGTCCCTATGGAAGGGAAGGTCGGACGCATGCCCAGACCCACAAGAATTTGAGGTCCAATTTTTATAACATACAGTACTAGGAATATGCGGAAAAACAGTTTAATATAAATTATTAGTATTTTTCTTGAATTCAATGTTATTTTTATAATAAAAACAATATATCGAAGATGTTTTTCGTACTTATCGGCTATCGCGATCCCCTTTTTACATCTCTTCAGGGCCTATAATAGAATTGAAAATAATAGAAACTGTTTTTTTTATATAATATAATGGACTCATTTCTTTAAAAACCCAAAATTTCATTATTGGTTAAACCGGATGAATGAAATTTTATTTCCATTTTCATTATCTGTTAATTTTATTTTCATTCTCGTTTTCATTCATCAGCTAAAAAATACTAATGAACACAGATGTAAAAGAAAAAGTATTTTTCATAAAAAAATGGAGTTGTATTTTTCCTCTCAAAAGTTTATATTTTGAAATCTGGATTATTTAACAACAAAATAATTGATCACCATAATATTTCAAGATCGAGATTCGAGATGTACTATATAACATATCTAATATATTACGTATTTGAAAAGTGTTTGATACCCGGTAGAGGGAGTCCAACCCAAACCACTTCAAAACTTTTTTAAATATAATATTAATTATATAAAAAAATTAATTGATTATAATTATATATCGGGTCAGCCGAGCCTTTCCAAATTTCTATTTTCATTGCTCGAGCCTGCCCGTTAATTTGAACCGTCCCACCTTGGCCTGCCCATGTTCTTTTAAATAGTTTTCCGAACCCGCTTTTTCTAACGCGCTAGACGGACCAGGTCTAACGAGTCATACCGCTCATAAACAACTCTGTTCAAATGCAGTTTGCGTCCATAGTTTATGGATTATACTAAAATAGTAAAAAAAATATTCTTACGTTTTTTTATAAAATGAGGATCTTATTATTTTGGAAGTATTTTGGATATATTTTATGGTGTCTTTGTTTACCAGCTGAAATCCCAAAATGGTCCAAGTCAATTTTTTGTCCATATCCATAGACCATTGCTGATTGCTCGTTGTTTTAATTGGGGTTTTCATAAAAATAAACATATGAAGAGGAAGTTTTACTTTTTTTTCCACTTTCGACATTTTTCTCACAAAATAATTAATAAACCGCAAGTCAACGACTTAATATCTTAAGACATTTTTTCTTACGGTCTTTAAAATTTTCTAACACATCCATATGAAAGGGGGTCCATCACAAAAAATGAATTCAGGCATCGTAGCTTGTGACATAACATGAACATGTGTCGACGTACAAAAAAACAAGGCAAAGCTTGGATATTTGGGGATTCTCCTTAGATATCACCGGTTCTAAGTCAGTAAGTCTACCTGGGGGGGGGGGGGTTATGCCTATTTTCCACAATGCCTGAGATTAGTCGAAGCTATACACAAGTTGGCTTGGACACCAACGGTTTAATAAAAGATGTTTCAATATGAGTCTCATGTCAAGGGGATTTACGGCCCACAACTAACGACTATACGCCCACGGTCTACTTCACCAAGGCCAAAATAATGCAAAGCCCAAAAATATTTAGTTTGATCCAGATCCTAAAACCTGTCATACAGGTTTATCTGGGCACACGTTTAGTTTCAATGCAAATACCAGAAATAGTGGATCCGTCCCTATTTTGACCCAACCCGACTGGTCCTTTCTACTTGACTCGACACACAACGACATCTCTGGGAGTTTAATTTAAGCTAAATTCGATCAATTTTTCGAGTTCCTTTCAAGGAGCTTTAGTGGAACGATCCATGCTTGTGATGAAAAAATAGGAGAAAAGACTAATAATTTGATTCCAATTAGATATATTTATAATATGGTTAATTTTTTAAAAATTAATTCGGTAATAAAAAATAATTTTATGACAATGTTGTAATAGAAAATAAATAAATATATAATGATATATTAAATATGTGCTAAACAATTTAAGTTGTAACATTAATGTATTAGAATATTTAATAGTTAATTTGGGTTAGGTTTCGGTAATAATGAAATGTATGGTGAGAAGGGTTCGAAGAAATCTCCATACGTAGATTAATCCTAATTGAAGATCAATACCAAGAGCTGTACAAGTTCAATTTTAGTATCAAGCGAATTTATGGGATGAAGTGAGATTAAAAGTAATCAAGGGTCAAGATCTTTTCTTACACTTCTTATTTTAACTTTTATTCCTATATGATCCTCGTCTAGTTAATTAATATTTCAAATGATGTATATATATGTCATTTTAAAATAAAAAATAGGATATTTACCACTATAAACATGGAATAGTGAGTTTTTTTTTTCATTTCTCATGTTGCACCAAATGTGAGACAGTGAAATTTGTTCCGTCATATCTTGTCTAATGTTCCAAACACAACTTTAATGTGCCGACAAAAGATTTATTTGTAACCAAATATTGTAGTAAATACATTTTTATCGACATTATAATATTCAAACTTATGTTTAAAGATTGTTCCATGTAGAAGCAATTCTCAATATATACAGGGTTGAGTTTATTTGAAACTAACTTGTTTTCGTGAGACATGTGAGACCACTTTTTTATCCTTGAAAAACTTCTTATGCTTATGAAAAAACTGGGTGATACTCCGTTTCTTCTTAGGTTCACAGCAAAATGCTGTAAAGGTAAAAGAAACTCACGTGAGATTAACATGTTTTCGTTAGACCCATAAGACAACTTTTTTACACTTGAAACTTCACAGCAAAACATTGTGAATGTAACATTCACAATAATTTTGTTGTGAAGGTTCAAAATTTTTTTACCTTTACAATGTTTTGCTGTAAAGCTTCAAATGTAAAAAAGTGATCTTGCAAAACAGATTAGTCTCTCGTAAACCCAACCCTATATATATATATATCTCTCTCTCTATATATATAATATGTTTCTATGAAATTTATATTCTACAAAATACAATGTTTGCTTTATGTTGTTAAAGAGACGATTATATTTCAAGAAGTTCAAAAAAAATACAAAATACAATGCTTATTTTTGTTGATTATAAAATAAGTGCTAATACAATTTATAGGTTAATTTGAAGTATATAATTTTGGAGGTCCCACTTATCACATGATCTTATCAAAATTCAAAAAAATACAAGAAAAGTCAAGGAAAGATTTGGTGAGACTTCAAAGGCCCCCCCACTACATAGTGCCTTCTTACTTCTTCCCACCCATTTTTTAATTCACCCATACACTCTATTTTTCTTCTCTCTCTCTCACACACACATAATATATATATATATATATATATATATATTATCTATATAGGGGAGCGATCAAATGCGAACCACTTAATTTGTACAAACCGTGCAAACCGCATTTAACCAATCATGATTTTTCATTTTGTTCATTTTTTTGTAATTATGAGAGGTTGATTAATCATTTTTATTGTGAAGGGTGTTAATCATAGATATTATCATCTTCATTATTTTAATTTTAGAAAAATACATGAAACAGTTTCATTAATGTTAGAGAAATACATGAAACAGTTTCATTAAGTATTATATGAAACAATTTCACAACC